GTTTCATATTATTGTTATTCGTAAGTGCTGAACATCTCTGTTCGCAAAAGATTTGAAGTTGAGAACGGCAAAGGAATAGTCTGTACATTTTCAAGAGACCGCCGCACACCAGTGAGCCGCGACAACCAATTTGAAAACCACTAGTTTGTATTATACAAGTATGGCATAAATAACATATTATTTGTTTTATAATGTTCAGTATTACAATGCGTATAATTCATACATTTTCTTTACATTTTTTTACATTCAATTATGGTTAATAAATTTAATTATTTCATAACATAAAAGGTCTAAGAACCCTTACATTATACAGTATTATATTGCATTTGATAGAAATGAAGTATACGGGGTCGTAATTGTGCATGGCGTAGGCAAATAAAAGTTTTGAATTGATTTCAACACTGGAAATGTTGAGTACATCCTACTATTCTTGGCGGGGTATTTAAATTGAAATACGAATGAATTCTTATGCAAACTTCTGATGTTCGCAGCTTTCGGTAGCAGTGGAACTATATGTACACATAATATAAACGTTGGGAAATAAAAAAAAAAAAAAACAATGATGAACGAAAGGATCTGATATATATATAAATGTATATCACGCAAACGAATTGTTGGATTGCATGTTGAAAATTACATCTTAAGAAAAGAACTTATGTACACACAATATACTCGCTGGGCCGAAGAAAAAGAAATTATGCATAATTTGAATGAAAAAGAAAAATCCTATTATTTTCAGGGCGTGATCTTATGCGAATATCCTGTAATGTCCCGGGACATTTTATCGCGTATATATAACGGTGTTGTATATGTACACAACACTACTACTGCAGTAAGTTATACGAGGTTGGTTTGAGTTTATACGGCCGAAGTTAAAGTTCACGAATCTGCGAAGGAAAATCCTAAGTAAAAAAAAATAAAAAAAAAAAAACTGCGAAAACGTGAACACGCATATCGCGTCATATTGTGTTGTGTACGGAAAATTTGTTTTTAAGCGTCTATTCGAAATCGATGGAATATGTTAAACCGGTATCGCAACCGTGTCCTTTTATATAATGTTCAACCGTAGTCAGTAGCGGATTAGGGGGTAGGCTAAAAAGCTTATAGCTTAGGGCGGCTTTTTTTTATAGAATTAAGTGTTATTATTGACTTATTAGGTATATTTATTTTAATATATTTTTTTTATATTTGTCAATATAAACACGAATAAAAATAATTTTAAAAAGTTATAATAATATATTAATATGTACATTTTATGATGCGTACCTATAGGCTATAATAAGAATATTACAATTATTATTACAATTTGAAAATATTTCATTTGTAATAAAATAATTACAGTTAGTTACTAGTTATTATTAATAATTTATTAGTACCTATGTAGGTACTCATTGGGAACATCCGACTATCCGAGTATAGGTATTTTCATATCTGGCTATTTACATTTCTGTTATATGACTGTATAAGCATTATTTATTTGTACTGATAATAATAGTATCTGAAGAAAAATAATAAACATTTTAGAAGATTTCTATTTCAAAGATTTAATATTTAATATATTTTTTTTTTTTATATAAAAAAAACTGAATAAAATTTGAAGAGAAGGGTTTAGACGCTAAATCCGCCACTGGCTGTAGTGTGCAGTCCAAGCAGTTGTGTGACTGGTGTCGGAAGGCGAGAATCGTTCCTTAAAGATTTTTTGAAGTTAATTTTCTATCTCTACTGCACTGAATAACGACTTAACAGTTTACGAATTCTAACGGATACGATGTCCTGGCGAATAACTGTTACGTAATGTTGGTATAAAATTGTAAATAATATTATTATTGAACTTTTTAATATATTTTAATTGGAGTGCACATAAGAAACCTAAAATAAAAATTATAGCAATAACAGTTTATTTATAAGCCGGTTATTTTTTAAATGTATGTGATATTATCGTATATTGATGGAAGAAAGGCTAATAATAATGTAGCTTCCCATAACATTCTGTTTATATTTCCCCAAAGTATTTACAAGAATGAAACACAGCTAAAACTAAGTATACTTAAATAATTAATATTTTTTCCTATCCCACCATTGAAATGGAGGACTTAAAATAAAATCAAAATTATACTCACTTTTTTTATTTGTGAGCATACGTATATTTGAGAAGGACACTTTTCTATTGAATATGACGACGTGAACAATAATATAAATAATAATAATATAAATCAACTAGCACGTTTTTTACAAAAATAACCGCTCCTCTGAACATGTTACTTTTGTGCACGTGCATAATATAATCATAACGTTTTGATAAATATAGAAAAAAATTGTATTTACTGTTTATTTTATTATTTTTAGAATATTTATGAAGTTAAGCTTTAAAAAAAAACACATACATTTGATGTAAATCCGGAAAAATAAAATGTAAAATTATCTCTATTTAATAAAACTAAAATAAATAGTAAAAAGTAAAAAATATAATTGTAAAAAATAAAAGTAAAATCTACCCAAATTGTTTTAATGATTTTATGGAATGAATACGAAAAAAATTAGACTTTTGGATTGTTGATATTGATACCATATGTGTTAAATAACTAATGGCGTGAGTATTCTACACGACCTTTAGAACTGTATTTAACGTTACCGGAGTTATTTATTATAAATATACTTTAAGATAATAATCTTTTGAATGCGAAAAAAGGAATATTAGGTACATAGAAATTCATTTTTTTCCGATAAAAAATATTTCTAATTATGAAAATATTTTATACCTATAGGTTTGTTCGGCCCACACACTTTTTAATATAAACATAAATTTCACATTAAGTCAAAATTTAACTTTTTTTAAAAGGTTTGTAAATTGATTTGCAATATTCTCTTCATCAGCAATTGTTATGTGGGTGGGCTAAATTCGCGAGCGTATATTTTATTAATTTCAATCTCGGTCACGGTAAGCATAGTAATATATTATCACCGAAATAATCGATTTAGTATAATATTTAAGTGTTTACAATAAACGAGTAATTTATAATTCTAAAAAATCACGTATGGTGTTTATAATGACGATCATTAATAATAAAATCTATTCCCATATGAATTATAAAAACGTAATTGATACAAACAGTATAGCTTATAAGTTATAAGAAGTTAACTTCTAGTCTGAACGTATTAATTATTCGGTGTACGTGATTATGTGTGTTTTATTATATGATCCACCGGAAAATGTAATTTTGAATACCATTCAATTATAAAACAAGCATTTTATTATTAATATTTTTGCCGGAGCTCACGCGGCGTATACCTACCTTAACTACGCTGTCAGTGATCGTACATAAATATTATGAACTTTGTCAGGGTTAACATATTCGTGATATTTATAAAAGGGTTAGCTGTATTAGAGTTTCAGAGGTGTAGCAAATGCCTTTGGGCTCTGATTTTATTTTTATTGTACAACATTGCAGCCTTCTCCTTAAAAGGCTTGGTCATAAAGGGTGAAACTCGCGTCTTGCCCCAGGGTGCTTAAACATTGGCCACGCTGTACCCCGGAGTTAACATATCGCGATCCACAATTGCAGCGCAGTTGACATCAGTCGGCGGGTGTTCAACGTCCTTAATGTCAATAATATTAATGAACAATAATGTTTTGATACTATAACATGAGCATACAGAGGACAAGAGTTTAATAAATTTCATACAACAATTTTATGTTGAACGGTAGCTGTACGATTCGATTGAATTTTTAATTCACCCCAAAATTGTTCTGGTTTTTTCCGGTTTCTATAATGTTTCATAGTTACATTTTCATCTATGTGATTTATTTCATAATATACAAATAATATTCATACAGAAATATTATAGACATCGCACGAAATGTGTAATGTTCCGCAGAACGAAAAAACGCTATATCAGCTGTACAGTAATACGATAATAATAGTAATAATAACAATATAAAATAATATTAATAACAACGTATTGTTATTCCGTAATGTTGCCGTGGATTTTGTCTGCAAGACGTATCCATAGTAGTCCACAGTCGGACAAGTTCGTTTAACGTGATCAATTTAATCACGGAATTAGATAATCGCGTTCTACGCGCTTGTGCGTGCATTTGACTTGTCTAAAGCTAATTTGGATGTACGGGTATTATTGAAATATTATTATATGGACACGATAGAACCAGAGTTTATTTCAATGACACGTTTTAAATACCTATGCCTGAAACATCAATATTATTCATTGCGAATTATAATAAAAGCTAATAAATCAAAACCTACTGTTTTTAAACGTTAACATTTCAAAATATTGGTTCAAAACCTTTTTCTACGACTATGTATTTATTTTTAAAATATTACTGTTGTAAAATACGTGAATTCGATATAAAAACTTTGCCATTTTAACTTATCATAATTATATTAATTAATTGGTTTGGAAAAAATTTCCAAATGATTAAACTAAAATTCACTATTCTTTGACCTATGTATATACATTAGGGCAGCGGTTCCCAAATTTTTTAGTTCACACCACCCTAAAAATTAAAAAAAATAATTTCGCCTCCCATAAAAAATTAAATTACAAATTTATAGTATTTAAATATACAAACATTTTTATTTTTATGACAATATAAGTTAACAGGAAATATTATTAAACTTCAATTTAAAGTACTCGTATTACAAAATATTTTTATTTTTATGAAAAAAAAAAACAATGATTATTAATATTTAAACTTAATGCGAACAATGTGCTTGTTTTCCGTTTAATAATTCTTCAAAATTAGGTAGTAATGTTGTGACAGCCACACGCATTTCTTTTTAAATATTAAGTTTTGATCGATATTTTGATTTTAATATAGCAACTGCAGAAAACCTTGCTTAATAATAGAAACCTTAATAATAAAAGAATAATAGAATAAAAGACTAACCTGCTTCGCATAAATACGAAGTCGCAAATGGTAGTAATACACGCAAAGCTTTGTTGACTATTTCAGGATATTCATCTTTAATGCAGTTCCAAAATTATAAAAGTGAAAATGAAAAAAATTTCATTCGTAATAAAGAATCAAATGAAATATCAATTAATTGTTCTTCTTCAGTAGTTGTGAAGTTTGGTAATGGTTTTTCACTAAACGGATCTTTAATCCAATTGTATTGTACGATGTTTTCTGGAAAATATTTCTCGAAATGATTTTTAAGAGTCATCAAATGATCAGAAATTATTTTTAGTGAGTTCATTGGTAATTCAAGATCATAATCTTCAAGAAAACTTTTTAAAAGTGAAAAACACGTGGTTTTACCGTTTTCTTCAGTCAGTTTCCTTTGCCATAAGTTGATTTTTTTTAATAAAAGCAATCACTTTATCATATAATTGCAGAATATGAGTTTCTTAACCTTGTAAAGATGTGTTTAGTATATTAAGTTTTTCAAAAATATCACATAAATACGCTAATTTAATTACAAAATCACTATCAATAAAGTTGTTAAAATCATTAGGACCTTCTTCACTCAAATAAGTGTAAAGTTCTTGTCTAAGTTCGAATGCTCGTACTAGTTTGTTTCCTTTTGATAGCCATCTAGAATTACAATAAAATAGTAACGCAGAAAATAGTAACGTAAAATAGTAACGTATGCTCTGCTCCCATTTCTTCAGACATCTTTTTAAGGAACCTTGCTTTAACAAGCCTTGTTTTTATGTAGTTAACTACTTTTATAACTGTTTGAAGTACGGTATTTAACGATGGACACATATTTTGTGATGCTAAAGATTTTCGATGAATAAGACAATGAGTCCATATCATTTCTGGAGATTTTTGTCATATTGAAGCCTGAAATCCACCATAATGACCAGCCATAGCTGGAGCCCTATCTGTACATACACCCATACAATTTTCCCAATTAATATTATTACAATTCATAAAGTCATTAGTGATCTTAAATAAGGTTTTAGCTTTAGTGTCTCCGAAAATTGGTGTACAAAATAATAACTCTTCTATAATATTTGTTTTATCCATTAAACGAATGTAACATATTAAGTGTGCGTCTTTATTACTATCGGTAGCTTCATCAAGTTGTATTGCAAAATTTTTGTTTTTTAATTTATTAATAAATTAGGGACTTAGGGACTTCAAGTATGTGCATACTTTTTTTAATTATTGTTAAATATAGCAGAGTGCGAAATAAATTCGTTTCTCGGTGCCATGGTATCAGATCAAAAATTTGAAAGTGCATATTTTTGCATATTTGATAGATTTTGCAGAAGAGTGTATATTTTAAAATGTTTATGCTTATTTTGCATATTTTGACAAATTTTTCAAATTTAAAATTAAAAACTATAGGTACATATTTCAATCGATCGAAAAAAAAAATGTAGAGGACTTAATACTTCCAGTAATATGCTATCTGCAAACTACCTCTCTTATCTCGTTATAATTTTCGTGTAAGTATAAATAATCCTATAAACCCTTATCGACCTTATAACCCGCTATATATTGACCGGATGTCGATAAAGATAATAGTTGATAGTAGAATAATAGATTATTTGTTTAGTGTTCAGTTCAGTCGATTATTAACCGTCGTTGCTTCTTGCGTCTCGCAACCACACAACGTCAAATCATACGTAAAACGTCGTACGCGTATGTTTTGTAACATTGTGTAATGCCGAAAGCACAACAGTCTACGAGTAGCCGACTACAAAATTTTGCTTCGGAGTTTAAAGATACATTTACATCCAATGGACTCGTTTTATTTTGTGTACTATGTGGTCATTTTTTTTTTCTTAATGCATATAAATGCATATTATTATGCATATTTTAATGATTTTATAAGCATATTTGCATGTATATTTGTGTATTTTTTAGAGCTATAAGTCCCTAAGCCTAGTCATTACTCATTAAAATTCAACACTATTTGGTAGACGCAATAATATTGGGTTATCGATAATGCGATAATGCTATAATAACATTTATAGAAATCCCTGAATCAATTATATTATTGTACAAGTATAACACGACTTTAAGTAATACTAATACAGTAGTGAAATATTTGTTTGGAATAGTTATGACATTTCAAAAAAATTATTGTTGATTTAAAAATATCAATATTTACCACGCGGCTCGAATCTCCCAAGGGAGGTGCCTCACAGTTTGGGAACCTCTGCATTAGGGTATCCTTTATTTATCAATCTCAATATTTCTCCAGTCTTACCCTCTGAATTTTTGTATATACATAAAAAAATGAGCAATAAAATGTTTCAAGTCAATCTATTAAGGTTAACCCATGCCGACTTGAGTTTGAAACTTGAGTACATTAATTCATTCATAATTTAATGTTATATTTTACATTTTTATTTATCTCATTTGCAGAGAGGAAAATTGAAATTTGTTACATAAAATGTTTTATATAAAATAAATTTTTTTATAAATTATGTTTTTATATGCTTCTTCTTATTTAATATAATTTACAATATGTATTGACTTTAATGTATGAAAGTACTATTTACTCAAAATTGTATTGAACAATATAATACATCAATACAATTTTTTTTTCTTCAATGTTTTATTTTTACAGTCAGGAAATAGTTTTCTCTGTTTTTTGGTACAACATAAGATTAGTTCAGACTTCTCATCATCACTGTTTAAACTTCTATGCAAATATCTTTGGAATTTAACGTCGATAGTATTTATCATCTCAGTGTAAAGTTATATAATTAGGAAAAGCACTTTGAAATTCAATTTTGATTTTATTAATTAAATATAATAAATTAATTTTAACACAAAATCGATGCATAAATGATTTATTTACTACTAGACTGTTAACATTATGATCTAAACCTTCATATATTGCTTGAATAATATAATTTGATTCTCGTACACTTAATTTACATTGATCCAATGCGGTAACAAGCTTAGGCGAAATAAAATTTATGCGGTTCCTTTTTTTTTTTTTTCTGGCAGTAGTATTGGTATACGACAATTGTACACATTGTGTGTATTCAGCATTCAGCATTCAGACTATTTTACATCCAAAATATTACTGATAAAATTCTACTGGTAATCCGAATTCAATCTGGTGTAAATTAAGTCATAAATGAAAAATTAAAACGGTTTGAAAATAGTTTTCAACGAAATAAACTTCAAATTGTACATTATAATGTAATGAGAATCGTATCTATTATATACATTTTTATTTGTTCTAAGTAGTTTAATAAGTATCCATTTTATAATTAAAATTGTATATTCATCTTATATTTATCAAAAAATAAATGTAAATATAAATAATTAGTTTATACTTAGGAATAAATAAAAAAATGCGTAGCCTGAAGTGCAGGACCGGCGAGAACTTCTGAGGACCCCGGTACTGTGGGGATTCCGGGTTCCGTTCCCTTTGCAATTGTTTGACCAAGACGCAACAAGATCACTTGTACATACTTTGGTACAACAAAAACATTGAATACAAGACCGAAACGACGGGCCCTTTCAGACGTACGGGCCCCGAGGCTCTAGCCTTCCCTGTCCCACCCTCTCGTCGGCCCTGCTGGAGAGTATTGAGATTTGTGTATTTTACGACCGGTTTCGAATTGAAAATTCATCGTCAAATGAATCACAAAGTCAAAAAAATTGCGACTTTATTTATTTATTAGTATTAACGATTAGCTAATTTTTATATTGTTTAATTATTTTATTAAATTAGTTAATTTTATTTTTTTACACGAATAAAATGTAAAATACTGTTATATTTATCGAGCTGCATTTTTTTTATACCGCTTAGTCAATCAAACACTGTGGTTCAAAAACACGCCACGTTCGACCGTCCTGGTTTCGAAGTTCCGACGTACGACCCTGCCGTCAGTTTGTCTTACACAATATACAAAGAGTATGCACATATTATAGCGCGTAGTCTCCGAAATATTATAAAATGCAATACATTATAATATTCTATTATGCGCGTAGCACAGAGATGATTATCGTTCGCAATACGGTCGTGTACGTATATTAACCCGTAGCGCGATGATTTATTTTTAATTTTTTTTTTTTGTACGCAACATTATCCACGTGTGTGTATACGTACGAAAAACGTAAACAATACGATTATATTTCATCGGGTCGGACGAAAATTGCAGGAGTATCATGTGTAATAACACAATAACAATAAAAACCCAAAATATGATGGTTTTTTTTTTCGTTTTTCATTTCGACTCTTCTCTCGGGCGGCCATTTTCAGAATGGTATACATCACGGAGTTAGTTTTAGTACGTAACCCCACCCATGAGCGAGCGAGCGAGCAAACGACACGCATACACACGCTGGTGGACAAAGAATATATGATAAAAAAATTAAAAAAAACAGAAAAACACTGATAGATTGAGCGTGATAGAGATAGGTAGTGTGTATGCGAATTAAGTAAAAAAAGAGATGGCGAGGGACAGGAACCGGTATAATGAGAAAAAGAGAGTGAAAAAAAGTGGAAATGACAAGGATAAAACTAAATAAAGATAACGTGTCAAAATATATAAATAGAATTAGGAAAATGATGCACTAAAATCCTACAATAAAGGCATTAAAAAAATCACCAATGATGCTATAATTATTGTAATGTAATTAACTTTGTTATGTAGATGTATGAATTATTATGTTGATTGATTGGTTAGGTATGATTTTATTTGTATACTTCTCAATGAAATGTCGAGATGATGGTTGAGATAACTTATAAAGTGGTATATTTGAATATAATAGAGCCTTATAATGGTCGTAGTTGAATGTTGATGCAGTCTATGGGTCGGTTAATAGAGTCTGTGTAGTAGATAGGTTTTGTTGATTTATTTTTTCTAAACCCATTATATATTATGTTTATCAGAAACAGTAAATATTTTTTTCAGTTGAAACTTTAATATTACATACTTTGTACTACAGTACTGTCCTGTCAGTGGCAAACATTTTGTCGCCAAATTCGCACACATATACACGTAAACAACATACCAACGATATTTTAGGTTTAGGCATTTTTAGCTTTAAAAATATTTTAAATAAATTCGAACACAAACTATAAAACTGCACGCGATTACAGGAAAATTTTTTAAATAACTACTTGTCGGCATAACGTATTAACAACTGGGTATCGTGGCTCTTCGACAATACTCTGTAGGTTAAAATATCAAATAAACTCGAATAAAATATTCAAACCCCATAGAAATTCCTATAATTAGTGAATGCTTAATAATATAATTTCTAATTTAGACATAGTAAAGAAGTGAATAAATATCGTTCTTATTGCGTCAATTAATAATTTAGATAAATATGTACTTAAATGTTCTAAAAATGTCGAATATCGATACATTTACGAATATCATAAGAAAATGCAAAAAAATGCAAAAAAATGCAAAAACAAAATTGTACATTTGAACTCTGTAATGTATGAATCAAATTTTGTTTTTGATTAGCTATGTACGGGAGTACTATAAAAGAAAATGCAAATGTTACAAATTCCTAGCCCTATATATAAACTAAACGATAGCAGAAACGACGACGGCCTTTTCTTGATTTTGCGCAGAGAAATTGCGCTCGCGCACGTACACGAAACAATACACGTGTGCCACACAGGGTGTCGTGAAAATTTGAAAATCAACTGAAAGTATACTCTCATACATACACACACCTACACAGTTCCGTATTTTCCAGTAAACACTATAAGCTAATGCTTAGGGTGGCAATTTCTCAAAGGCAGCAAATAATTTTTAATATTACATTTTTATCATATGTAACTAGAACTAAAATAAAATGTAACTAATTATAAAATGTTTTAT